AACTTCCAAGTGTTCCAGCACGTTATGCCAGAAAGAATCTGAAGTTATTGATCATTGATAGCTTCTCAAGCTGTCCACTGTCCCTAAACATTGTATCATACAGTGTCTGAAGTGATAAATCTCTAGCAGCTTCCCAAATCTTTCGCTGCTCTAAGACATTGTGTTATATATAATTTTAAGCTACCAACTTCTGGAAGCATGCAGCTTTCCTCTTTTCCAAAACGTTTTATCATATAGAGTCAGAAGTTATCAATCATTGAATGCTTCTCAAGCTTTCCACTGACGTATATAATTGTGTCGCATAGAATTTCAAATTATCATTATTCGGAATATTCTCAAGCTTTCCACTGTGTTATAACACTTTAGATAAAATTCTGGCATCCTAGAAATTAGAGATGGCAGTCAGTCAGCAGCACCCACCGCCACAAAAACGTTTTCCGGTTTCGAATCGAATAACGAGCTTAATTGTTAATTTGATAACGCACACACACACCTGAAAGTGTAGATCGTGTTCATTGGCAACGAGAAACGAACCTTAGACCTCTTGACCTGCGGGACAACATGCTAACTAGTAATGAACGGCTCTTTTTTTAGAATCTTCATTAATGTTCAAAAGACAAGTAAAACGTGGTAGTATGTTCACTTTACTCTGCGTGGTCGTTTTTCTTTTATCAGATTTTGACGCTCTTTCCTCGAAGAAAGTGTTTGACAAGAGTAGAGAGTTTTGTTTTATTGAAATCACGCAAACTTAACGACTTCGGCAGAAGCAGCTGATATGCAATGCAAAAAAAATCTTAGTTTTTCATGCAGAAAAATACACCTTAATGATGAATGTTTGATTCAGAAAGTAAGCGTATATAGTTTGATAATGCAACGTTCTTGTTTTTATCGTGTTATTTATTAACAGTGACGTCATTGATCGACAATATGTTTTGGGCAAGACATTAGCTAGCTACATTTATTTTTTTCATTTCCAAACCAATTATACGTTTATGTAATGTTTATTTAAATGGCATTGAGTTTGACATTTTAAAAAATAATTTGTGAAATACATTTACAGCCTATAGCTCAAAATATTTAGGTACGAGGATTTTTTGCCTTTTCGGTTAATACAGAAACTACTATCATACTGATGTTGGTAGACTACAAGTTTATGTATAACCACTACACAAGTGATCAGTTTTAATATCAGATACGCAAGAAAGAACGCTAGAAACAGAGACAGAAAAATGAAAGAAAGGCAGAAAATATTAATAGATACACAAACAGGTGGATATTTCTTGTTTACATGTCTTTGTAAAAATTACTGAGCATAAAAAAAGAACAGGCTGATATTCCACAATATGAAACGAAACGGTATTAGGCGGTTTTAGAAGCAGACCTTGCTAAGTTTACGCAGATTAAGTTAAATATAGTTCAGGCGCCAGTTGTGAAGCGGACGATTGTTACTCTCCTACCATCGGAGGGAGGGGGGGGGGGCTCTTTGTGAGACCCTCACCTGTTGACACCTGAGAGAAAAGAAAGGAGCGGAAGAAACGGGAAGGATATGTTGTTTGTCTTATTTTTTTTTGCACATCTGTTGGAAACCAAAAAGATCAGTTGATTAACACTGCTGTATTTCCCAGTACTTTTAATTATTCTAGACATTTATTTGTGAAAGGCATGAAAAAAAAAAACGCACCGAAACCATGACTCGTGACTGTAATTTAACAAGCACTGTGTAATATTATGATAAGCTAGAGTTTATGCTTAACTGCTTCTGTTACACATATAAGAAAATAAACTTAGCTCATACATATTGAATATATAAGATTTTCACATAAATATATCAAATTAGTCACATGAATACTTCTGTGGAAACTTACTTTTCTAAATACGCTACCTCAAAATGTGTGAAGCTGAAACTTAAATACGTTATGTATATGTAGCTTTATATGTTATCCAATGAGCCGAGCGTATCAGTGTGAATCTGTTAATGTAAATTCACAATATAATTATATCTCTATTGTAAAATTCTCTTATAGCAGTTAAGTACAGTTTACATAGGTTTAACTATTAAAACGAAATGTTTCTAGGGCAAATAAGAACTTGAAACTAAGCGCCTTCCTTAGGATAGCTAGATTTTGGTTACGGTGCTTGTGGAGTGGTTAGTTTAATATCAAGAGTTAGTAACAATTGAAGGTTGGACATCTGGTGTGTATTGTTAAAACGCGTAACAGTTGAAGGTTGGAGTATCTGGTGTGTATTGTTAAAACGCGTAACAGTTGAAGGTTGGAGTATCTGGTGTGTATTGTTAAAACTCGTAACAGTTGAAGGTTGGATTATCTGGTGTGTATTGTTAAAACGCGTAACAGGTGAAGGTTGGGGTATCTGGTGTGTATTGTTAAAACACGTAACAGTTGAAGGTTGGAGTATCTGGTGTGTATTGTTAAAATACGTAACAGGTGAAGGTTGGATTATCTGGTGTGTATTGTTGAAACACGAGAAAAGAGGTGAAACCATTGGGCCTCTATTCAGCTGGTCATATCTTCAACTCTCAGTGCTTTGAATAATCTCGTTACATAAATTAAAATTGGGTGAGAACTGAGCGTGTACAGTTGAAGTGAAGGTGGTGGCAGTTTCAAATTTAATAAAATTACATATGGAGAATATGCCTGTTTGTTTGTTTTAGCTCAAAGCTATGTATTGGGATATCTACATTATCTGTCTGTCATGGGGGATTTTGCCCGGTAATTATTCTAATTATTCATTTTTTATAATGTGCTAAAAATCTTCAAACTTTGTACGAAAGTAAACCATAAGTACCTTAAATAAAAGTGCAAAACATTCTATAGATCTCGTATAACGCTAAAAAAATTCAAAAATCATTTCTTGTCAAGAAATTGTTGTAAGGTACTATTCTAAATAGTTCATTTTATCAACATTCTATAGGTATGCACACATATACCTAAACATTTATGTTTATTCTAAGGGCTTCATTTTACTTTTAATACTTTTACGTGCTTTACTGTGAGATGTTAGGGTGTTTACTGAACTCTACACTAATCTATACGTTTTCGTATAAATGTAGTTCTTAGAATATATTTATCTGTTTCGATGCGAATACATTTCTGTTTACAGTCTTCGAAGTGTTATTATCTTATTATCAATAAGTAAGCTAACCCACATTACCAAGGTAAAAAACTCTTCTCTCACGCTGGGATTTCGGTAGTAATTATATGTGGATTTTTGGTCTGGCAAATGAGTCTTGCAATCAATTCAAGTGCTTATGTAGTTGGATGCAGGCACAAAAAAAGTTCAGAAACTGTCAACACTGATCTCGATTTTTTGATTGTGTTCAATCTCGCGCAAAGCTACTCAAGGGCTATCTGTGCTAGCCGACTCTAATTTTGAATTGTTATACTACAGGGAAGACAGCTATACAACACCACCACCCCAACTCTTGAGTTACTTTTTACCAACGAATAATTGGATTGACCATCACATTATAATGCCTCCGTGACTAAAAGGGCGAGCATGTTCGGTGACAGGTTTTGATCCTACGCCCCGCAGGTTGCGAGTAGAGTGCCCTAACCACTAGGCCACGCCAGACCTGAGTTTTCGAAAAACAATTAAAAGTAACAAAAAGGAATGAGTAGTGTCATCATTTTCTTTGATTTGTATAAAATTATAATCTATCTTATAAAGTATTAATTAATGTTAATATGTACCATAGTACTCCCTTAGTTGCTCAGCGGCAAGATTAAGGGCCTATAAAACAAAAATTCAGGGTTTGATTCTTGCTCTACGCACGCTATACTATTGCGTAGATTTGCGCTAAGCAAACAAATACATACCATATATATGTATAACATCAGGCTGAATTAAATCGTCTTAAATTTTACCCTTGTGTTTCTGATACCAAAGATTGGATGTTACCGTTGTTGTATGAACGGAAAAAAAAAAAGATTAAAAAAATCAAAAACAACTCCACATTTCCATGTATAAGAAATGGGGGTTAACGTTTTTAGCGTATTTTTGTTGTTGCAGAATTAAAGACGTGCTGTAGTTACCAAGGGAAGATATTGTATTAGCCTTTTATGTGTTTGAGGTGTAGACCATGTAAGTTATGCCCGTTTCATGTATGTGTTAAACGTGATTATATTGTTTTATCCGTAAAAGAAAGCGTTTAAACACTCATTGACTGTTGCAAGAGAATGTATAGTCTATCTTTTCGCGTAGTCGTAGTAAGTAATCGTCTGGTAGTTTCTTTTTGAAATTATACATTTCTAATAATTAACTATTTGCCCAATAACAAATTATTACATATTTCCATTCCTTAAATTTCCTATCTACTCAACAACTTTACATACTCTAAGGATTTATACTTGTTGAAATGACATAGATGTTCTTCTTTTTTTTTAGATTTTTTCTGTATTCATTCTGTAAATGAAAAACAACAACGAAACTACATCTATCTATATATACATATATGGTTAACCTCAGTTAACCATATATATTTTAACCTCAGAAATACCGATGAGGTTCATCGTCTTTTATCTATCTATGTAAATTTCTTGCGGGTCTACGACGTTGTTCATTACAGGGTTCCTAATAATATTCAGTCACACAAAAAATGTAAACAAAATACAATCAATATTGCAATTAATTTCTCGATACATACTGTTGCGGTCTCCTACGCATTTTACATAAAAAAAATGAGTAATGGGTAATTTTACCCAGTGTTATTGGTCAGCTGTTTATACTGAGTGTTGTAACAGGTAAAAACATAAAATTACTCAGTATGATCCACTAAGTGGATTACAGAGGCAGTAAATGGGATAAAAACAAGTAGTAATTTGAGGAATATATATATACATATATATATGTATATTGATGATTATTACAGGATACGTACATATAAATATGTTACTTCAGTTCAGCAACTAAGTATATATTAAATATTAAAGAACAAGTAAAGCTGAATAATCAGTTGTAAACTACACATTTAAAGTACTCACGTTTCTTTTTGGTTTCCGAATCCATTGGGATGGGGGAACCTGAAATAGAAAACCCATGAGACATGTCCATCATGGCGACGGTGGAAGTAAGATGAGTATATTCCTCCTGCATTAAATCGCTCACAGGGGGGTGTTCCCCTTCGTTCAACACTTCCAACAACTGGTGGCTGGTTAGGATGAAACTGTACAGTAGCAATGATTAGTAAATCTCAAGGTTTGGATTTCAATATGTAAGAGAAGGTGCCAGGACCCAGTCTGTCGTAAACTAATGTGAAAGTCAGTCTTGAAAAGCACTAGTTGCCAGTTGAAATCATCGTCTCTGTGTTGGAATCAACACCTCGGTTTTTAGCAGCAGCCTTTCACGTCCTGCGAGTGGTAGGTCTAAAAACGTGAGAAAAGAAAATTATATATATAAGAACACTACAAGTATAACATAATGTTCCTGTCCAAACAAAATTCAGTATAGCTGAGAAACTCGAAATTAGGTCTTCTGAGAATCCGTCTTAGCTTTGAGTTGTAGATTACATCAAAAGAAAACGCCTTTAACCAATTGTTGGAATGATCAATATTAGCATACAATGCGCTACCATAATATTGTATAACCATACACAGTGCACTTTAACGTATTAAATATGATGTATTGTTATGCAAAAACATACTTATATACTTTAAACATTTTCTTCAATGATCGGTATTAATGCACAAGATGTAATAACATGAAATAACCAAAGAAACTAATTCTTAAACAATATATATCGTGTTCTTTGACATTTTTGAAACTAATATGAAATTATAATTACGTCGTATAATCGTTCATGAAAAACTTAACCACGATACACTTCTCACTAGAGGGACATAATACGAAATGTCATAACACAAACCATACATTATACTTACATCGTATAATCGTTCATGAAAAACTTAACCACGATACACTTCTCACTAGAGGGACGTAATACGAAATGTCATAACACAAACCATATATTATTTCTAAGCATGAAAGTACGTAGTCATACAATGAGTAAACATAAAACGTACACAACTGCTGATTTCATTTATGAACATGTATTCGCGATATTAGTGCACAGTGGTTTTCAAGATGGCAACAACGTACTATAAAGTTTATGTAAGGAACGTTTTAAAGTCAGATTCATGTTCTATACATAGATAAATACATTTTATTTTCTTTGAATAACACCTGTATGCGTTTGCCATAGTCAATAAAGTTGGCACTTTTTTCAGTATAGGTTTCATATTTGGTTCTGTTGTTTGTTTTTGAGTGCGCAATGGTCTATCTGCACTGTGTTTACCACCGGTATCGAATCGTGATTTATAGCGTTATAAGCCCTCAAGCTTACTCCTAAACACCCAAGAGGCTTCAAGATAGATTAAACCCGTCATTTTACTCTCTCAAAATTCACCAATGCCGTTCCCGTAGTAACACGTATCAAGAAACGTAAATAAAATATTAAAACCATCTTTCCAGTGCACTCCGTCTAACATAAGAGGCGATAGACGCGTGGCTTAGAAAAAGTTCACATGTTAAGACTTCTGAGAACGTATGAGCGAACGCAAAGAAGAGTATGTAATAATATGTCAACCACACTACATCGGCCACATCCAGTCCTGGAATAGGTAGGCCTCTTGACACAACGTGCTTGTTTGGATACACGCTACGTTTCATCACTGCCTTACTTTCCAAAGAAATTGACAACTAGAATTCTACGAACAACATCTGATATCACTTTTGTTTTCTAAGATTTGTCATAGAATGTGTGATTAGCTTATTCCTTTCCTACTTTGCTTTTTGGCCCGAGGGCGACTTTTACCTGGATCTCTGTTCCGCTTTTAATTCAGCCGCAGCCTGGGAAAGTCGATAATTCAACGCTTCCATACAGCATTTGGTTGTTAGGTTGTCTCATAAATACTATTCCAGACATTAATTAAACAATTAGAGACACTATACGTTTACGATTTTTCTAAATTATAAAGTGTATCTAAGGGATGAGAAATTCTCATAATCCAAGTACAGACCTGTCAACAAGACAATTAAAATCACCCCGTTTCCTTCACAGATAAGAAGTGTCACCTCCTCACTATTAACGGTTTTATTATTTACTGGGTGATAAGTCGTCAGATAATATTTCTTCGCATGGAACTTTACTAAGAGTCAAATAACTCATGTATATCCAAATTCTACATGTCCTTCGGTGGTTCAGCGGCAAATTATGGACTTACAACGCTAAGATTTAGGGTTAAATTCCGAACGGTAGACAGAGGCAGATAGCTCATTGTATAGCCTTGCACTTCAATAAACAAACCAAAACACACAAAAAAGCAACTGAAAATGAAAATAAGGATCTTTATGACAAATAATATAAGCGTAATTTGGCTGTATCACTATATATTCGTTAAACCAAATATATACTTGTTACTAATACTTGTTTGTTTAACGACGTCTTGATAATGAGAGTGTATAATAGGGCACATTTAAATACATCTCCTGGTCTATGTAACTGAAATAAATATCTGAGAATATATTCGTAAAGCAAAGCACAGAAAATTCCCCCTAAATGTGAATTGGTGGAGATCTCAATGCGTTAGAGTGACAGCTCTTGTGCAAAGTTTCAATAGAAATAAGATGACGATACCAACGATTCGACGCGCATAATAATTTCTTATATAAAGTTAAAAGCAAAATACGCTCCACCATCTTTAGGTAATATTGTGCAGGTCGAAACATTGGTGTCGTCATCATATTTTTATTGATGGGGACCTGCTAATTACTGAGGTGAATTTCTGTTTAATAATGACACAAAACTTTGCATCCTGAGCTTAGACGTTTTATTATAATTGACTAAGATGATTTTTAAATGTATCATTGCGTTCTACTGTTTGTTTTGTGCTTTGATTGAATAGTATCTTGTTATTATATCATGTGTCTGTATACAAATCAGCGCTATAATGATTGATTGTCAACAAAACCAAGAATTTTTATTCCACTGAAGGATATTGAGTGGAAACAATCATAGCTAAATAAGCCAGAATCTGATCAGTGATTTAATTTAAAAACACTCTATACATTTTTATTTAATCTGTGATTCACTATATAAAAAGTTTACTCTGTCAAACTGTTTGTTTTTGAATTTCGCGCAATGCTACACCAGGGCTATCTGCGTTAGCCGTCCCTAATTTAGCAGTGTAAGACTAGAGGGAAGACAGCTAGTCATCACCACCCACCGCCAACTCTTGGGCTACTCTTTTACCAACGAATAGTGGGATTGACTGTAACATTATAACGCCCCTACGGCTGAAAGGGCGAGCATGTTTGTTGGGACGGGGATTCGAACCCGCGACCCTCAAATTGCGAGTCGAATGTCCTAACCACCTGGCCATGCTGTCAAACTGATAAGTTAGTTTAGTAAAAAAAAGTTAAAAGAAAATCTGTGAGCTTTTCCATATAATCGAAATATATCAAAAGAAACCATGCCATTTACGAGACAAGTAACACATGATAACAAAAAGTTAGACTTTAAAGTTTATTCAGTTAAAACGTGAGAATGAAAACAATTGTAGCTATTAAACTAATAATGCTAGAAAAATATAAACATATTGATCAAAATACAGATAAGAAATATAGCTGATATTACTAAGTTAAGACAAAAACCCGTCTACAACTCGTCAGGTTCTTGGTGGATCAGCGATAAGTTTACGAACTTCCAACGCTAAAATCCAGAGTTCGATTACCCTGCGAGTGACAGAGCGCAGACAGACTATTGTGTGGCCTTACAGTGAAATAAACAATCAAATAACTCATCAAAACTGAACACATTTAAAATAAACGACTAGGCTCTATCACATAATTTGAATATGATGAAAATAGTGTCTTCAACGCAGGTAAAAATTTACATTACAACAATGCAAAAAACAAAAACAAACAAAAAAAAAAGAGCTACTGATTATCTTACGCAAATTAAACATTTGGGAAATAAAACTTATTAACGTGCAAGAACAAATGAGACAGTTAATATATGATAGAAGGAAATATTAGAGAGAGACCAGCATGGTATATATATATATTGATCTTTTTTAAGTCAAATAAAAACTATCATTATGAATTTCTATTAATAATGAAATTCAACGACAAAGCAAAGGATTTCTGAACCTTTACGGAAAACGTTCTCTTAGATAATCACAGTTTTGGAGAACCCTTCCGATCCTTGTACAAACCCACGGGATCGTTTAGGCGACAAGACTCTAAAGGATAAATATACACAAACTTCGGTAAAGATCGCAAAGATTGACTGGAGGATCAAGGAAATAGGAAATTACCTGCAAACTGTTTATCCTTATTGAAAAGTGGAAAAAAAAACAACAAATCAGAAACTGAAACACACTCGATCTCGGCGTCTCTGGAATGGTTCTTCATTCAAGCTATTGGTCAATTTCTATTAAATTTCAAGGCAACATTGTAATTACGCTGTAACGTTACTTGATGTTGACGATTATCTTTACTGCTTTGTAATTCCTTATTCTCAATGGATTGGAATAGTTTGACCATAGTAATAATACTAAATCGTTTTCTTCAAATCCGACAGTTGACTGCTTGTAGAGAAATAACCTCAACAGAGAAATTCCGTATTTCAACCGAATAAATCTCGGATCCCATGAAGGAAAATCAAAAACACATAACGCTTTGTTTAATTTATTCATACGTCACTACGTCATTTTGGAGCGTTCCCGAAACTGGACACTGCAAGTAGTTTTCTTTTGACAGATGAGTGACAGCAAAATCGATCAAGCAGGACGTTTGCATCTTGGGACAATTTGTTAACACAAACGTGCCAAAACTAGGGTAGCCTCTGGTTAATGAAACACTGACCATTGTAGCACGTGCCGTTTGACGAGTAGAAGTGGTCGAACAAGAGACTTACCTGTTTAGTGTGCTTAAGAAATGTTGTAGTTCGATTTCCTGAGAAAATCTTATCTCAATGGGCTGAATACATGCACTCACACACGGCGCTGTTCGCTCGGCTGCCGATCGGGGGTTACTTTACCCCTGCTACGTGTATGA